GTATCATGAATTCGGCAGTATCATGAATTTGGCAGTATCATAAATTTGGCAGGGTCATGAATTTGGCAGGGTCATACATTTGGCAGTATCATGAATTTGGCAGTATCATGAATTTGGCAGTATCACGAATTTGGCAGGGTCATAAATTTGGCAGGGTCATACATTTGGCAGTATCATGAATTCGGCAGTATCATGAATTTGGCAGTATCATTAATTTGGCAGTATCATGAATTTGGCAGTAAAATTTTGCAGCATCATGAATTTGGCAGCATCATGAATTTGGCAGTATCATGAATTTGGCAGTAAAATTTTGCAGCATCATGAATTTGGCAGCATCATGAATTTGGCAGCATCATGAATTTGACAGTATCATGAATTTGGCGGTATCATGAATTTGGCAGCATCATGAATTTGGCAGCATCATGAATTTGGCAGCATCATGAATTTGGCAGTATCATGAATTGGGCAGGGCCATGAATTTGGCAGTATCATGAATTTGGCGGTATCATGAATTTGGCGGTATCATGAATTTGGCAGCATCATGAATTTGGCAGTATCATGAATTTGGCGGTGTCATTAATTTGGCAGTATCATGAATTTGGCAGCATCATGAATTTGGCAGTATCATGAATTTGGCAGTATCATGAATTTGGCAGTATCAGGGCTAGAAACCTCCTTCAGATGATCGTGGCGGCCAGAAGGGAAGCCCATGCCAGGGACTCTAAACTTCCCAGGACTTGAATTGTAATCTGATATTTGATGTGGAAGGGGAGAGTTGTGAGTAAGTGAGTGAGTGAGTGAGTGAGTGAGTGAGTGAGTGAGTGAGTGAGTGAGTGAGTGGAAGGTAAAGGGAGGGCCGTGAAATGCGTGAGTCAAAGAAAGAATGAATGAATGAAGGAAAGAAAATGAATGAATGTGATACTAGTAATAATGGTGACCTGACTACGTTGATTACTGCAGGAAAATATAGATACAGACACGAGGTCTTAAAGTCACTTACATTAACGATAAAGATGGCATTCTCAAACTGTATCAAAGACAGCATATCCCGGTAACGTTACATATGTATTTACAAATGTATTTCACTACTACATGTATTTAATTTTAATATGTTTATTGCAATCAATATACGAAGTGCACCATGGAACTTGTAAACTTCGGTACAAATACACTATGACTGTATGTGAAACGGCCTGTCTGCTAGTTCTCATTTTACAACGGGTTTAACAGGTGTACAGCATGTACACTATACACACCTTATTGATTAGTATGCGGTATGTTTAATAGCTAGGTGACATTTAAATCGATTGGACTTATCTAAGTTATAGGCTATGAAATGACACCTTTATATATTTTGCAGTATCATGAATTTGGCAGGGTCATAAATTTGGCGGTATCATGAATTTGGCGGTATCATTAATTCGGCAGTATCATGAATTTGGCAGTATCATGAATTCGTCACGGCCATGAATTTGGCAGTATCATTAATTTGGCAGTATCATTAATTTGGCGGTATCATGAATTTGGCAGTATCATAAATTTGGCAGTATCATGAATTTGGTAGTATCATGAATTTGGCAGGGTCACGAATTTGGCAGCATCAGGAATTTAGCAGTATCATGAATTTGGCAGTATCATGAATTTGGCAGGGTCACAAATTTGGCAGCATCATGAATTTGCCAGGGTCATACATTTGGCAGGGTCATACATTTGGCAGTATCATTAATTTGGCAGTATCATGAATTTGGCGTTATCATGAATTTGGCAGTATCATGAATTGAGCAGTATCATGAATTTGGCGGTATCATTAATTTGGCAGTATCATGAATTTGGCGGTATCATTAATTTGGCAGTATCATGAATTTGGCGGTATCATTAATTTGGCAGTATCATGAATTTGGCAGTATCATGAATTTGGCAGCATCATGAATTTGGCAGTGTCATGAATATGGCAGTATCATGAATTTGGCAGTATCATGAATTTGGCAGCATCATGAATTTGGCAGTGTCATGAATATGGCAGTATCATGAATTTAGCGATATCATAATTTGGCAGTATCATGAATTTGGCAGTATCATTAATTTGGCAGGGCCACGAATTTGGCAGTATCATGAATTTGGCGGTATCATTAATTTGGCGGTATCATGAATTTGGCAGTATCACGAATTTGGCAGCATGATGAATTTGGCGGTATCATAAATTTGGCAGTATCATGAATTCGGCAGTATCATGAATTTGGCAGTATCATAAATTTGGCAGGGTCATGAATTTGGCAGGGTCATACATTTGGCAGTATCATGAATTTGGCAGTATCATGAATTTGGCAGTATCACGAATTTGGCAGGGTCATAAATTTGGCAGGGTCATACATTTGGCAGTGTCATAAATTTGGCAGCATCATGAATTTGGCAGTATCATGAATTTGGCAGTATCATGAATTTGGCAGGGTCATACATTTGGCAGTATCATGAATTTTGGAATATCATGAATTTGGCAGGGCCATGAATATGGCGGTATCATGAATTTGGCAGCATCATGAATTTGGCAGTGTCATGAATATGGCGGTATCATGAATTTGGCAGTATCATGAATTTGGCAGTGGCATGAATTTGGCAGTGTCATGAATTCGGCAGGGTCATACATTTGGCAGTATCATGGATTTTGCAGTATCATGAATTTGGCAGTATCATGAATTTGGCAGTGGCATGAATTTGGCAGTGTCATGAATTTGGCAGGGTCATACATTTGGCAGTATCATGAATTTTGCAGTATCATGAATTTGGCAGTATCATGAATTTGGCAGTATCATGAATTTGGCAGGGTCATAAATTTGGCAGTATCATGAATTTGGCTGGGTTATGAATTCTAAATTTAGACCTTTAGAAAGCAGTGATTTCTTTGGTTCTGTGAGAGTATGGCTACTTAGGTTTTTTACCCACCTCTCGTCGGTTTTGGCCTGTGTAGTGGTTTCGGGTTCGGAACTGTTTGATCTCCAATTTGGGTCACTTAAGCTCCTGTTCTGTATAACAGGAGCTTTAAGACTAATTTGCATAATCTTGTCTTGACTTGTCTGACTTTTGTTCCTTTTTCGACTTCCAAAATTTTGTCTTCACTTTATTTGCATATCAATCAATAGGTTGTGCTTATAAACCTGCATTTCCCCTCTGGTCTCTCAGTCACTGACGAAAGCTAGTGGATACTAGCTGAAACGTCTGACGTTTTCAAAATCATATCCAGTTGCTTGAGTAACTGCTTTTTGGCGAATTCTCATTGATTTTGAAAGTAAGATCATTTCATTTCAGTCATGGATTAAATTAGTTGCTGTCTTATCAACAAGAAGACTATTCTAGCACTTCCTAATAAATAAATTTTAATGTGAAGTAAAGTCGTCAGATTCTTTGTCGGGTGTCTTTTTGCCTAACTTATCTTGTTATTGGCTACCAAAGTATTACATGGTCACCAGTATACATGTAGGTCAACAATATGTAGATGTAGTGTTATGAAATCATATTGACACACACACTGACATCGTGAATCATATATTTATTCCAATATCATCTCACAGTCAATCAAGCCACCATCCCATTTTGTAACCTTAAATCCAGTACATTTTAACTTAAGATACCCACATTTATACATGTATATAGGCACTCAGTCCAAAGTTACTTCTCAATATATCTTCTGTGATAGCTATGTCAGGAAACTGTATCCAATAAGTCCGGAGGATGCACGACCATACTTCACAAAAATATTGTTCTTTTCTCCCTCTGCATTTGTAACAACCAGACTAAATTGGTGAATTTCAAATTCTAGCTAAAAATTCCAGTAAATGGGTATTTTCTTATGTTAATGGTCGAGAAATCCTGCATGGAGATTTAAAAATTCTTAAAACTTGTAGGATCAGAATGTGAATATTACAAGT